AAGCCGGAAGTGGCGCTGTAGCTCAAGTGGTAGAGTGCTAGCCTTGAGCTGAAGAGCTGAGGGACAGCGCCCAGGCCCAGAGTTTAGGCCCCACAACTGACAAAAAAAAAAGGAGAACCAAGTGAGGCCAGTCAGGTCAAAAACTCTTCCTGAAGCCAGGCGCCGGTACCTCATACCTATAATCCTAGCTACTTAGGAGGCTGAGATTTGAGGATCGTGGCTCAAAGCCAGCCTGGGTAGGAAAAGTCTATGAGACTCTTATCTCCAACAGACCACCAGAAAACCAAAAGTGGCTCTGTGGCTCAAGTGTAGAGCGTTATCCATGAGCTGAAGAGCTGAGGGACAGCGCCCAGGCCCAGAGTTCAAGCCCCACAAACGACAAAAAAACAAACAAAAAAACCCAAATTCTTCCTGGGTCTAAGTATGCTGTCAAGACAGAAGCTGCCTTTCTTTTGAACACTGCATCTGGCTTGGTAGGTAGTACCTGGCCATGCTGCCAGCACAGCCTCAGCTGAGCCCAAGAGAACCCCGTACAGCAAGGAGGAAGCAGAGCAGCAGGTGGCTGAACAGAGCCTGGGGGAGAGAGAAACACCTGTACATAAGAATATCTGTTTCATAGCTTAGCTCTAGGCCTTGGCAAAAGACAGCTACACAGACCAAAAAGTAAATTCCCTTTTGTGCCTTAAGGCAGCCTGAAGTGGATTACCGAAGACTTGACAGAAGGACTTGATTTTTCTTTAAGTGACTAATGAAAGGGTCCTCTTTGGAGCTTTTCTGTCATAAAAACTTCAGTGAATATTTTCACTCTCTATGTAAGTAGCTATGATAAAAATATAAAATCACACACACACACACGCACGCACGCACGCACGCACAAACTTTTCAGCCAGGCAAGGTGGTGTACCCTTCTAGCAAAAGCTACTTAGGAAGCTGAAGCAGGAGGGTCACTCCAGCAATATGGGTCTGGGGCCAGTTTGGGCAACATAGGAGACACGGTTCAAATAGTAGAGTAATTAATAGCCATGAATGAAAAGCCAAGCAAGAATATGAGGCCCTGAGTTCAAGGCCCAGTGCCAGCATAAAAGGAAAGAAGAAGAAGGAAAGAAGAAGAAAAGAAAAATCAGTTTAGGTAGAGTGTAATCATACTACTTGGGAGGCAGGGATAAGAAGGAACACAGTTCTCCTACATTAAATAAAAAAAAAAGCTGGCAAGAAACTCCATCTCAACAAATAAACTGGGTATAGTGATTCATATCTGTAGACCTAGATAACTGGGAGGCATACGTAGGAAAATGAGGTATGAGGCTTGCCCCAGACCAAAAGGCTTGACTATGAGGGAAAAATAAAGTAACAGTCTGGTGGTAGGGCTCAAGTAGTAGGGTACCAACCCTACAAGAATGAGTCCATGAGTGCAAACAAAACAAAAACACAGCGTTTGACTTAAAGCAGGAAAAAAAAAAAACAAACACCAAAACCCCTCAACAACTTAGCATAAGCCAATGAGTAAAAGCATCAGATCAAGAGATCTTGGACAAAACAAAAAACAACCTTAGGGCCTGCTTAACACCAGGTTCTACTTTGGGAAGTAGATGAAACAAGAATGATCACCTATGGCCCAAGCAGTGCCACAATCATGCAGCTGCAGAAGCAGTGACGTGAGCGTCACACATCCAGTGTGACAGACAACAAGGGCACAACAACACACACAAAAATCAGGGGGGAGGGGTCAATACTGGGGCTTGAACTCAGGGCCTGGGTGCTGTACCCCTAGCTTCTCTGCTCAAGGCTCTACTTGCTGTTTTTTGGTGGTAACTGGAGATAAATCCCACAGACGTTGATCCTCAGACTCAGCCTCCTGAATAGCATGATGATAGGCACTAGCCACCTGTGCCCAATTCAAACTGAAAATTTTTTTTTAACATTTTTGGTACTGGTCCTGGGGCTTGAATTTAGGACCAGCTCTACTTCTGGCTTTGTTATTGGTTAATGGAGATAAGACCTTATGGACTCTCCTGTCTGGGCTGGCACTGAACTGCAATCCTCAGATCTCAGCCTCTTGAATAGCTAGGAATACAGGTATGAACCACTGGTGTCCAGCTCAAATTGTTTTCTTGTTTTTGGTTTTTGTTTTTTTTTGCCGGTCCTGGGGCTCAAATTCAAGACGTTGGGCACTGTTCCTGAGCTTCTTTTGCTGAAGGTTAACACTCTACCACTTGAGCCACAGCACCACTTCCGGCTTTTTCTGTGTATGTGGTGCTGAGGAATCGAACCCAGGGCCTCATGCCTGCTAGGCAAGCACTCTACCACAAAACCATATTCCCAGCCCCTCAAATTGAAAATTTTAAGTGACACAAAATTTCACCTTGAAATTCAACTCTGAAATAAAGACTTTGTATTCAGTCTCCACGTCAACCTATTCTAAAATCAAAGTGGTCACCCTGGGTCTGAAAGCTGTTGCTGAGCAGCCCAGCAACTTCAGCTGACTATGCTCAGATTAGCCTCAGACTATGCTCAGAAGGGAGCACATCAAAACTGGGCTGGCCTCTAGCGACAGACCAGAGGACTTCGGCAAGCAAAGTTCCACACTTTGCCTGGCTACGTGCTATTTTTTTTTGGGGGGGGGGGTTAATCAGTAATTGTAAAAATTGAAGTAAGTCACTGATAAAATCTTATCATGAGATGGAATAAAACTCTGAGAAGTTAGTTTGAATAAAAAAATTATGACTGGAGAGCTGGGAACATAGCTCAAGTGGTAGAGTATTGCCTACCTAGCAAGCACAAAGCCCTACGTTCAAACATTAGTCCCACACACAACCTAGTACAAACACATTTGTAAGGTTTTGTTTTGGTACCAGTACCAGTGATTGAACTTAGGACCTCTCCTTCTTGCTTGGCTTTTTCACTCAAGCCTGGCTTTCTAACACTTGAGTCACAGCTCTACTTCTGGCTTTTTGCTGGTTAACTGGATAGTCTCTTGGATTTGTTGCTAGACTGGCTTTGAACCTTGATCCTCAGATCTCAGCCTTCTCAGTAGCTAGGACTACAGGCATGATTCACCAGTTTCAACAGCAACTTGTAAGGTTGTAAAACAACTGTCAATTGCTAATCCTAGCAGAAAGCATGCCTAAAGAGGCACCGTGTATGGACATGCTCTTTATTGAACACCTACAAGGTACCAGGCCAAGGCAGGAGGATGAGACCAGGCCCTGCCTCATCTGCCAGATGGCTGAGTCCAATCTCAGGAGCTGAAAATATACAAAGAGACGGGTGGGAACACACAATAGGTAGACAGCCACCTAAGCAATTCCACCAGAGCACTATCAGTGTTCTGCTCTTTCAACTCAAGGCCTTAGCTCATGATCACCAGGATAGACAATAGAGCTGCAGCACCTTGACAAGCTCAGCCCGGAGCTCCTCCTCCTCCGCTTCTGACAGACCCTCCACAGCAGGGGTCCGAGCAGCCACACCTGGGTCAACAGGGACGTCAGTCAGGAAGTCAGACAGCATACCTTTGCTAGGAGAGTTCAAATTGATGTCTGTCAGAAACAAAAGGAGGTCAGAGGGTGTCGAGTAAGTTATCACTCCACTGAAAGAAAGCCAAAAATGGAAAGCCAGAGAGAGAGAGATGGAAGGAAACAACAAAGACCAATGACACTTGCTCTGTGAGAGGCCTATCAAAACAGTACAGGCATTGGATGGAAAGCAGCATTGATGTTTCAGACATCTGAGACACAAACACACCACCATCTTACATTGCTGGGACACCAGAAACACAGGCCAAGGCAGCTAAACCTTAATTCTGTTTTCCCAGTGAGAGTATCATCTCTTCTTGCAGGAAACCATTGCTTTAAAATAAAAATAAAAGCAGCCAGAACGAATCAATTTTCCATTTTTTAGAGTGAGTGAAGAAACAATATGCCCAAAGCATAGTATAGTAAGTCTTGGGGCTGGGAAGGTGGCTCAGTGGTAGAGTGCTTGCCTTGCATGTAGGAGGCCCTGGGATCAATTCCTCAGCACCACATGAGCAGAAAAAGCCAGAAGTGGAGCTGTGGCTCAAGTGGTAGAGCGCTAGCCTTGAGCTGAAGAGCTGAGGAACAGACCCCAGACCCAGAGTTCAAGCCCCATGACCGACTCCCCCGACCCCCCCAAAAAGGCAAAACAATTGGAAAGGAAGAAGACTGTATTAAAACAGACTGGATGCACTGAAAATCAAAGATAACAAGTGTCTGGTTGCACTTATATCCTTTGCATGTCCCATATCACTGAAGTTGTCCAATTCCTAGGCAAGATGTTTTGTAAATGAAACATATTTGCATATCTTTTTTTTTTTTTTAATTTACTGACTGATTTTCCCCTCACTGGTTTTCTGCTCAAACAGGGTCATTACACAGCCCAGGCTGCTCAGACTGGGGATCCTCCTGCCTCAGCTCCTCAGTGCTAAACACAGGCCTGCACCACCACGACCACCTAATTCTATTAAAAAAAAAAAAAGTGTTAGAAACAATCTTGTATAACAGTGTTCAAGTAGGCAGAAATAGAGAAAGAAACGTTTCCTGCTATCAATGCAGGAAATGGGAGTTAAATACTCCCAATTCTGACCTTTTTTAGGAGGTAGAAGAGCTGGTCTGAGGGCATAAACTCAAGTCTGGGTACTACCTTTGAGTTTCTTTGCTTGAGGCTAGCATTCTACCATTTGAGCCACAGTTCCACTTCCAGCTTTTCGCTGGCTAACTGAAGATAAGAGCCCCATAGACTTTCCTACCTGTGCTGCCTTTGAACTGTGATCTTCAGACCTTAGCCATCTAAGTAGCTAGGATTACAGGTATGAGCCACCAGTGCCTTCCTCCAATTCTCACTTTTATTATTTAAAAAATATTTTATTATTATTAAGGTGTACAGAGAGGTCGCCATTTTTTTTTTTTTTTTTTTTTGCCAGTCGTGGGGCCTGAACTCTGGGCCTGGGCGGTGTCCCTCAGCTCTTCAAGGCTAGTGCTCTAGCACTTGAGCCACAGCGCCACTTCTGGCTTTTTCTGCTCATGTGGTGCTGAGGAATCAAACCCAGGGCTTCATGCATGCAAGCAAGCACTCTACCACTGAGCCAGCTTCCTAGCCCCAATAGTAAGTTTTCTAGAGTAGTTTTAGCTTATAATAACAGTTCTTTCCTGAGATCTTGTCTCAAGCTTTGTGCACAGCTCAGTGCATTTGACACCTAATGCACACTATTCTGAGTGGTTCTTAACCCTAAGGTCTCCCTTCACTGGTGCACACTGCATTCTGAGCAGATCTTTTTTTTTTTTTTTTTTGCCGGTTGTGGGGCCTGAACTCTGGGCCTGGGCACTGTCCCCTCAGCTCTTCAGCTCAAGGCTAGCACTCTACCACTTGAGCCACAGCACCACTTCTGGCTTTTTTCTTTTTGCTTATGTGGTGCTGAGGAATCCAACCCAGAGACTCATGCATGAAAGTCAAGCACTCTACCACTGAGCCACCTTCCCAGCCCGAGGTTGCCAGTTTTTAAGTCAGGTAATGAGCACATTTCTCTTTTGGGACAATGTCACCCCTTCCTTTGCTTTCCCCGTTTCTCCCTCCCATCCCTGCCCACAAGCTGCTTAGCTCATTCTCCACATAGTATATCATGAATACATGACTGCATTTGGTCACCCTTCCTCCCTCCCGCACTGCACCTGAGTCTATTTTTATTTTTTCAGTCATGGGGCTTGAACTAAGGTTTGAGCACTATCCCTAAGCTTGTTTGCTCAAAGCTAGTACCCTACCACTTTGAACCACATCTCTACTTCTAGTTTTCTAATGGTTAATTGGAGGTAAGAGTCTCATGGCCTTTCTTACCCAGGCTAGCTTTGAACCATGATCCTCAGATCTCAGCTTCTGCAGTAGCTAGGATTACAGGAGTGACTCACCAGTGTCTGGCTCTGATTCTGGTTTTTAACTGAGACCAGTCTGATATTACTTCATCATTTCTATCCAATGTTAAAGTTACTCAAGGGGCTGGGAATGTGGCTTAGTGGTAGAGTGCTTGACTAGCTTGCATTCAGCCCTGGGTTTGATTCCTCAGTACCACATAAACAGAAAAGGTCAGAAGTAGCACTGTGGCTCAAGTGGCAGAGTGCTAGCCTTGGGCACAGAGGCTCAGGGACAGAACCCAGGCCAGAGTTCAAGCTCCAGGACCAAAAAAAAAGTTACTCAAGTTCAGTATACTCTTTGAAATCTCTACAATTTTTCATGTCTGTAATCTTCACTACTCAGGAGATAAACGTAAGGATCACAGTTCCAAGCAGGAGAATCCGTGAGATTCTCATCTCCAACTGACCACCAAAAAAGCAGAAAGTGGTAGTCATAGCCTTGAGCAAAAATGTTCAAGGATATCACTCTGGCCCTGAGTACAAGCCCCAGAACCAGCACTAGGGGGAAAAAAAGTGAAGGTCACCAAAACAGTTTCTGCCTGTGAAGTTAAAATTGGATCCCACAGAAATTACTCCCAGATACAAACTTGATAATTGCCAAATATGTACTAAGCAACCTATAGTCATTCTTCAAGATAACAACCTCACAGGTAGAAGGCATTCAAATCCCAGGCTCCAATCTTGGTGGAGGCCAGGATTTGAATTTAATACTTAGCAAAAGAATTACAGAAAATAATTGAGAAGCTGATGCCAGAGGCAAACTAGTGATCCGGAGCCCTCACCCCTAGGGTCTCAGCTTTAAGACGTGTGCTCAAGGCAGGTATGATGGGGCTGAGGCTCGGTGGGCTGTAATTCCAGCTACTCAGGAGGCAGAGACTGGAAGGATCAGCCTAGGCAAAAAAATATTAGGAAATTATCATCTCAACCAAAATCTGGACATAGTGGTAGAGGTCCTATAGGCTGAATTACAAGGGAGGCCACAGGTAGGATTGGTCTGAGGCTAGACCCTACAAGAAAACTACCAAAGACTCCCCCATGGTATTACCCGTTTTCACTGTATTGGATATTGGTATAATTTGGTGAGGGGAAGGGAAAAAACAAATTGTTTAAATAGGGATACAGGCTGACCCATTGCAACAATGAGATGTAAAGTCGCTATGTTGAAAAACAAACTTTACAATTTAGGCTGGGGGAGGGGGGGAGTGTAGTTGTGGAGATGGGAGGGAAGGGATGGTAGGGGAAAAACAAAGGAGGAGGCCACAATGCTTGGTAAGAAACATACTCATTACTTTGCTCATATAACTGTAACCCATCTGTACAGTATTTTCACAATAAAAAACTTACTTAAAAAAAAACCACCAAAGAAAAAAGGGCTGAGGCATGGCTCAAGTGGTAGAGCATCTGCAGAAAGAAAGAAAGGGAGAGAGAAAAGAAAGAAAGAAAGGAAAGAAAGAAGGAAAGGAAAGAAAGAAAGAGCCGGGCACCAGTGGCTCACACCTGTAATCCTAGCTACTCAGGAGGCTGAGATCTGAGGATCTCGGTTCAAAGCCAGCCCAGGCAGGAAAGTTCGTGAGACTCTTATCTCCAATAAACCACTAGAAAACCAGAGGTGGTGCTGTGGCTCAAGCAGCAGAGCGCTTGCCTTGAGGTGAAGAGCACAGGGACAGCGCCCGAGTCCAGAGTTCAAGCCTCACAACTGACAAAAGAAAGAACGAAAGAGGAAGAAAAAAGAGAAAGAAAGAGAGAGGGAAGGAGGGAGAGAAAGAGAAAGAGTAAGAGAGAAGAAAGGAGAGAGGGAGGGAAGAAGGAAGAAAGGAAGGAAGGAGGAGGGGAGGGATGAAAAGAAAGACAGAGAAGGAAAAGAGAAAGAAACCAGGAGGGGGGAACTGGGGGAAGAGAAAATGGGAGAAAAATGAGGGAGGGGGTAACAATGGTCGACAAGAAATGTACTCATTGGGCTGGGAAGGTGGCTAGGTGGTAGAGTGCTTGCCTTGCATGCATAAGGCCCTGGGTTCGATTCCTTAGCACCACATAAGCAGAAAAAGCTGAAAGTGGGGCTGACGCTCAAGTGGTAGAGCGCTAGCCTTCAGCTGAAGAACTGAGGGACAGTGCCCAGACCCAGAGTTCAGGCCCTACAACCGACCAAAAAAAAAACAAAAAAGAAAAAGAAATGTACTCGTTATCTTACCTATGTAACTGTAACCCTTCTGTACATCACCTTGACAATAAAATAAAATTAAAAAAAAAACAGAAAAAGGAGGAAGAAAGGGAAGAAGAGAGAAAGAGAAGAAAAACAGAGAAAGAAAGAAAAAAACATGCAAGCAAGTTGGTGTCTCAGAAGGCTGAAGATCATAGTTTCATAAACCGTCCCAGGTAGGCAAATTTGAAAAACTCATCTATAATTATCCAGCAAAAAGCCAAAAGTGGTGTGGCTCAAGTGCTACAGCACCAGCCTTGATCAAAAAAGCTGAGCAAGAGCTTAAGGTCTACATTCATCTGCAAAATGGGAATAATACAAGGATAAATCCTCTCAGTGGGTTACTCTGAAATTACAGAAAGCCATTTGAGAAACAGCCTAATGTCTGGCCCTATTTAAGCGATCAGTGTTTTGTTTTGTTGTTTTTATGTATTGCTGAGGATTGAACACAAGGCCTCACATAGCGAGGCGAGTACTTTACCACTGAGCTCCAGCCCCATCACCTGTAATATCAGAATCTAGTGATTGTGGTGCTTAACTGAATCAGAGATGCAAGTGAAATAATAAAAACGACTGAATTCGTCAGAGCTAGAGACCTTCGATCTTGAAATATTTGCAGACATGTATCAAAAGTAGCTCACATCGGTAACCCTCGCTACTCTGGAAGCTGACATCTGAGGATTGTGGTTCGAATACGGTGCAGGCAAAAAAGCCTCAACGACTCTCGTTTCCAATTAATCAATAAAGATGCCAGAAGCAGAGGTATGGCTTAAGTGACAGAGCTCTAGCCTTAAGCAAACAAACAAACAAAAACACTGAGCAACAATGACAGGCCCTGAGTTCAGATCCCAGGGAACACACATGAAAATCATCCAGAGTGTATCAAATCTTGGATATTCTAGTGCTTAACTGAAATACTGATGCAGATCAAATGGTGGTAAGGCGTCCTGAACTTCTCTTGTAGCTATGACAATGCAGGAATGAATTCAGCATCCTCTTTCTCTGGAGGAAGACTTTGTACTACTTTCTCAAGATGTTACTAAATCCTGGATCTGCCCCATTCTCCACAGGGGCCATCTCCTACTGGTTTGGAGTGTGTGTGTGTGTGTGTGTGGTGTGTGTGTGTGTGTTTGGGG